TTAATTTTAAATATTTTTTCATGATTCTGAATTTTATGTGGAGTTAACCAGACATATTGCTTACAAAGACATCCAGCAGAAATCATTTAAGAATAGTTCCTGTATTACTATTGAAAAGAATGCATGTGCTCATCTTTTGTCTACTTCCATATCTGAGTAGCTGAGTGCTTGGTTCCTTTATCTGCTTTAGTCAAATGCAGCTAGAACACAGGCGCCTAGACATCTAAAAAGCTTCTTTTGTGCAAAGCAGCATTTCTGCGGAGCAAAGTCAAGCTCATGGTCTGATACTTAGCGTGGGCTGGCGGGGGTGAGATTGTCTATGTGATACCATTTAGCTGAAGAGGTTTTCACTTCAGACAAAAATACGTATTTCTTAGGGTAAATGTGTCTCCATTAACAAATGCTTTACCATACTACTCAGCGATTCTGATTCCTCAAGGCTACTTATTAATTATAAGAAGGAAACTCAGACCGTACATTTTACCTAAGCAGAATTTATTTCTTGCATGAGCAAAAATTTACTTTAACCTCAAGCACAGAATAACATATTTGAAATATTCACCTAAGGGTAAGATTTTGTCCCACTTCACATTCTTGCTATTTACCTACTGAACCTAAATGCTCAGATGTACATTAAACCATGTGCCATGAAATAGAGAATCCTTTGATAAATATATTTTTTTATAAAACTCATATTTCATTTACTATAACTCCTAAATAGAAAATTATTGAAATTTCATCAGAAAATCAATGTTCTACCCCCACATGCACCACAAGGCCTGAGGTAGGTCACAGAATTCATCTATTTTGATTTTTTTCATAATTAAAAAAAGGTGGATGGAACCTCCTTCAAGCTGAAATATATTAATTTTCTAGTAGGATAATACAATTGAAATTCGGTGTGTATATGAGGCAACCATACAATACCGATGCAAGTTGGCATCTTTAATTTTTTCAACCTTGCTCCCTCCTTTTCTTCCTTTTGTGCCCAATGCAAATTTTTTTCAACCTTGCTCCTTCCTTTCTTCTTAAATGCTTGTGTAAGTGGCCCCTTACTATGGCATAGTTCTAGAGCGCCTGGAAGTATACAGTTGACTTTAAAAGTTGGGTTAGACTTCCTGATCCATCAGGGAAAAAAGTAAAATCTCTTCTGTAGAAAGCACTGTCTTTCTAAATTGTCTTCCTTTGCCACAAAGGCTCACGTGGTGTCTGGACCTGTCATGACGAATCCACTCATCCCCACACAGTGGATTCACAAGTTTCTTTCTGTTTCTCACAAAAAAAGTTATCCTAATAAGGTATTAGGTCAGACATCCTGGCTAATTTATCAAATGGATGATAAATCTAGGCCAAGCAGTATGTATTTATTCCAGCGCTTAACTTGAGAATAAAAGCAAGCGTCCCAACAAAGCTTTTAGAGGATGGCACTCACCCAGCCTTGTGAGGCCATGAAGGTAGCACAGTTTTACTTGCAACTTCGAGAAATAAAAGCCCTGCCTACTCGTTTTCTCCCCAATAAGGAAAGTTGATGATTTGACAGTTATTCTGGCCTTTGAAAATGCGTCTCTATTCCCCTTTTTGCCAGTGAAATAACTATTCTTTTCCAAAACCCAGTGGGTCCCCACAGCAAGGTCAGAAGAAGCCCCTTTGCCAGCATGATGAGGGGAGGGGGGAGGTGGGTCTCCATTCTTTTCTCTCAGTCTTTCTCACCTCAACATTCCTGGTTTGACCAGATCTCTTCTCTGAAGGAAAATCCCAGCATCCTTAATTGAATCAGCGGGAACACGTATTTTAGCCCAAGTTTGAATTTGCTGATGTCAGGTGCACAAAGTCAGCGATTGTCCAAGCTGATGCCTCCTAGAATAATGCTTTCTGCCTAATTTTGCCTTATTCTTTTTTTGCTATTCATTTATTTCTATTTTTTAAATTGTGTTTTCATTTAAGGTTTTTCTAAATCCTATTTGGAGTTAGCAAATATATATATATTTGGCAAACATATTTGTGAATGTTATTTCACTCCTTAAGAAAATTAGAGAAAATTTATAATGGTGAATATCCACAATTTTTTTAGTATCATAGAGTCTTAGTTCTGTTAAATGTTAAGTTAATATATATGGAACTATTTTCACTGTTAATTCATATTCCTCTGATTTCTACAATTGTATTAGTCCCCTGACTAATATGCTACCATGTGGTTGTATGTAAGTTGTATGTAGTATATATGTGTGCATGTAAGAAATATCTTGACCAGGTGGGATAACTCCAGCTCTGCTTACTGTTCTCTGAACCCCTGCTATACTCATTTTGTCAGATGATTTTATTTCCAAAACCATTCTTACTTTCCTGAAATGCCCTCAAATTGTCCCTCTATCCTTGCCTATCACCCACCCATATGGTTTCTCAGATGTAAAGGAGACCCTGCTAAGAGTCACCTTTGCATGTAATAATCGTTGCTAAATTGTCTGATTCCCTATCAATTGCCTACTTTCATTCTTGTATCCTCCATGTCCACTTGCTTCATATCTTCTGTCTGTCCTCCAATTCAAGTCTCTACTGCATAAGGACATAATCCTTCCTCACAACTTTCCATCTACCACTCTGCCGTATCTCTCTCATTTTTCTCCACCTGTTTTAGTCTGTTAGGGCTGCTGTAACAAAACACCATAAACTGGGTGGCTTATCAGTGACAGAAATTTATTTCTCATCGTTCTGGAGGTGGGGCAATCAAAGAGGAAGAGGCCCACCTATCCCATGTCTGCCCACGGTTGTCTTTTCTCTGAATTTGGGTTGGGGACAAACATTCAGACCATAGCACCACCTGTGACCTCCTCTTGCTTAATACACATATATTTCTTTACTTCCCCCACAATCTAGCACTTCATTGTATTTCACTAAAGCTTCCATTTCCAAACCCATTTCTCTCAGTCTTGACGCAATACATAGTGAGAGGTTTAAGACTGGTACTGAACTTTGATAAAAATTAACTTTTTCTTTGATACACTCAGTATATGCTAGAGCTAGGCCAGCAACTCAGCATACCTCCCTAGGTGACCGAAGAAGCATTGGACCAGGAACATAGCAAAGTTCATTCTCTTGTTAACCCAAATTAGTTCAAATATGGCAGTGCTGACAATGGTCCAGGAAGATAGCAACCCACACCACGCTATCCAGTGGTGGGCATGGACCTTTACTGTGACACCCACAGGTAGAATAAGGATAGATGCAGGCTGTGGTGGAGTTTGGATGGGTGCTGTGGAAGCACAGGGTATGTAGCAATCAACTCCATCTGGATTGAGTGTGGGAGGAGGCAGGCCCAGGAGGAGCTGGGCCCAAGATGTCAATATTTCAAGATGCTTAGAAGTGAGCCAGATGAAATGTTAAGAGGAAAGAGTGAGATATTCAGGCAATTGCTTCTCTAACATGATTGTAGGCATGGGCACTAGAGTGTTCAACACTCCTCATTATCTCCCTGTTACTTCTAAGCACATTACATTCCTAAAACGAGCATAGAGACCACTGACAATGTGGTTTCAACCTGCCTTGTAGACACCCAGTCTCTACAAAATAAATTGTTCATCATTTTCTAGACCAAAAATATCCTTTCTCGTTGTGTTTTTTGCTTCCTGGTCTTCTTGTTCATGTAAAATACCCTTTCTGATATGACACATTTTGAAAATATAGTTACCAATTCTTGCCTCTTTCTCCCTTCTGGAGTAATTATTTCTGTACTACAATAAGTTTTCTTTATTTTTAAAGGACAAATCACACATTACTGAGTTCTGTGAACATCTGTTTCCATTAATTTTTACCTCACTAGCTTATTAGCATTTCATGGTGAAGGAACACATCTTAGTTTTGTTTTGTGTGTGTGTGTGTGTGTGTGTGTGTGTGTGTGTCCTTCACAACCTATAGAAACAGTGCTTTTAGCTTTTCAATGAACTGTGGACCAATATATAGTTCAAGCAACAAATGTTCCTAAGAAATACATTTCTGTTTTAAGAAAGCAATTCAAAAATCTGAGCCCTAGAATTCATGATTTTATAAAATTATTAGTTACCTCATGATTAATCTAACATAGCACTATCCTGAAAACAAACTGGGAAAAGCTAGACTCACTACAAAACGCCAAGGATTTGCAATGACTCTCAGTATAATTAACTCATATAATTTTTGCAACAGAATACAAAATGTGCCAGGGTGGAAAATATTACTTATCACTCTGGAAGGCAAAGTTCCATAATACTTGGGGAAATTTTGCTTTCTTTTGAGGGGCCCCAGCATTTAAAGCAGAGAAGCAAAGGACAGAACGTGACTTGATTTATATTCTACTCAGTACATTGAGGAATAGATCCTTATGGTCATAGCTAAGAAAGTTAAAAGTTTTGGGTATGGAAGTAATGTATTTTTAATCCTAGTCATTAATTTCATAGACAATATTTAATCTGTAAAATGTAGGAAGAAGCCCATATTTATACTTAGTGTTGCCACTGACCTCTTATAAACTCTTTTTATAAAACCTAAGAACTTCCAATAGCAGAAGTGGATTTTAATACATTTGTTATAGATTTTATAGAGGCATCAAAAGACTTCTCTTTGATTTTGTTTTCCCTTAAATGCTGACACTACGCCTGAGTGTCCACCATAAGCCAGGCAGTAAGTTTCTCTTAAAATGCTTCATATTTAAGAGACAATAGGAGAGTTAATAACATTTTCAAGTTAGAAATGTCACAACAGACATGTGTTTCCATTCATAAAGTATGTCATGAACACATACAAACTATCCTTTGTCATCTGGTTCTGCCCCATTTCAAAAATTATTCTCTGCTATTAATTAGAAGTGACTACAATTTGATTAATTTCAAACATGTGTCACATAGGAACAACGTGGAGAACTGAATTCAATATTTTTCCACTAAGAGTATACATAGTGTTCATTGAAAGAAGCCAAATATGTTTTTATAAACCAAAAACTAGTATTATCACACTGAGAGTATTGTCAGTGTAACACATTCCAGTTTATTTGAAATATTAAATTCACAGAACTTAATTATAAAGCTTCTGAGACTGAAAATGCAAAACTAAGTGAACTCTCTCGTTATTTTCCACCTAAAACTCTTATTCTGGAGTCTGTTTCTTCACCTGGAGAATGCACCTGATCTTGGTCCCTCTTTGGTTTTTTGATTTAACTCTGTTGGCCAAAGCTTCCCCAAACCTTCAAACTCACAGTAGACAAATCCACTTTGATTTAGCTGAGAGAAAGGAAAGTTTCAATTAGCAAGGGGGAAGTGTGTCTTTTGCTTAATTTGCATTATCATTATTATTATGGGATGTGTACTAAAACATTTCTTTCAAAGTGCTAATTAAATTTCTATGAATGCACTAAGCCTCTAACCAGATTATAAAAGAAAAATCATATGATCAAGTAGTTGTGAGTTAAGAAACAATGATTCCATTTAGGTTTTTCTGTTCAACTTTCCAACAAAAAATAATGTTTTTCTTTCTTATTACACAGCCTGCAGTAATAAGTGAAATATAATCCTAATTAATTTTTCCTACAGCTGTGTATAAATCAATAGCTACAACATCTCAAAGGAAATGCACATTGCACCGTCCTCCAGGCTCCTAATGAATGCAAATAGAATGACCTTTTTCTGACAACTATGAATATTGTTTCACAATTTTACCATTAAAACCGCTGCTATCAGCAATTCATACAGCAAACAGGAAGCTACAATAGTTGTAAATAACTATTCATTATGGTAAGAAAGGAATGGAAAAACACTAAGTCTTCGTTATGCAACTTTTAAGTCTGGAGTCTGATTTTAATACTTCATTTTGATATGAACATTCTGTGTTAAATGTAACCCCATCTTCATTTTAGTTCTCTATTTTGGAAGAAAAACAATTAAAATCATTCAGTTCTTTATGTAACTTAATTGAGAGGTTCGATACTGAAAGGTTTTAGTAAATAAAGATTTCTCAGTCAGTACTGCTGCAAAGCTCTTAATACTACATCCAAATGTTAGAAGACTGTGGTTATAGTCCATGAAAAATACCTGGAGGAAAAATATGCATAGAAAATCCTATTGTTGTACTTACCAAGACATAATGCTACTCATGTGATGAACATGATGATGAATTTAGAAGCTTTCCAAAGAGAGAATGACATAAGGAAGACACCTATGGGAACCTGAGACAAGGGAGAGAATATGTCAACTGCATTATTGTCCATTTTGACTGAAGAACCATTTTATTCCATAATACAATATAACGGCATGTCCTCACACTCAATCCTGTTCTACTTTCCACAAAACGTCATCATAGCCATGAAGATGTCTCATTAAGTAAAAGTTAAATTCAAATTTTATAACAAAAGTAGTTAAGAAGTAAATAAAAGAAGTAGTTAATTATGTCAAACCTAATTCTGCTGATCATAGATCTACATACTGAAAACTCCCATTGGAGTTCACTAGAGCCAAGAATATAATTAGCCAGTAGAATTCAAACACTCATTAAAAATAGGACTCCCCAAGTTGCAACCAGTTTTAAAAAGGGACTCACAACAAGAGGACGTCATTTCCATGAAATCCAAACACCATTCTTCTATCCCCTATTCTGCCATTAAAGTTTATACCTCTATATAGGACCGGGACAACCATCACATGAGTATTTGATAGACCAAATATTCATTAGAGACATGGATTTATGTAGAACATATTTATAGATATATGAATTTACTTTGGTAAGTAGTTGTTCCACCTTTTTGGCATAGCATAAACTTTCTACAATTTCAAATCTGAGAGTTATTTGAAACCCCCTTTAAACAATTTCTTGAAACAGTTAAGGAAGCATTTCTGTGACTGTGTGGCCATATCAGTCACAGAGAGCATTTTCTAACTGTGTGACACGGTCTCCACTCGATGACATCTCCTGAAGATGTCTGTACTCTCACTCCCGCAATGCTTTCCTGCTGAAGATGAAGCCGTGCTACATCTCACTCAATATTGATCTCTAAGGCCTTTCTCCCAATCCTTTTCCCAGTGTGGTCACTGAACAGTATCCGAGTTCGATAGGAAGATCAGCTGCTCATCCACTTTTTGCCAAAGCAATTTGTATTATGGATTTATTTCAGCAGTCTACAGTGGCAGTTGCTGTTTTTACTATTTAAATGCTTTGATTATCTGACCTTGCTTACTTTATCTTTCTAAGTGCTATGCATGGGCTTTAACATTGATCAATACATGGGGATTCCTCTACAGGATTACGTTGAAATCAATCTCAATTCAGACTTTTTTCTTTTTTATGTTTATTACTTGATCTGTCTTAATTGCATTCCTTATTTAGATAAATAAGTTTAAACACATACTTTATTATACAGACGAGAATCTTCTAAGATCTACACATATTATAAAAATACCCTGTATTTTTATGCATTATTTTATTCATTCCTATAATATGAAAAAGGAAAGGCTTAATTACTAGGTATTTTATTCAAACACCTTTGCATTATAAATAAAAGACCTAGTCCATTAGAAGAAAAACATAGTTACATATATTTAAATAACTGAAAAATCTTGACACACATTAATATGCTATATTGATTGTGATAACTGTGGAAGTTCAACAAGTGCTGGCTACACATATATTTTGCACATAAATGTGCTTGTCAGACTTTTTATAAAATAAATTAGCACTCCATAAAATAAAGTAAAATTCTAAATATGTGTATCTTTATAAATCACTAAAAACTATAAACCTATCATAAAAAATTAATATTCAATGTGTGTCATGAGAAAGGTTTATCAGTTTCACCCTCACTACTAAGACTGAATGTTTTACTCCACTTTTTTATTTTGGATTAAGAGAAATAAATTAGAAATATGAAATGCTTTGAATACTTTTAAAATCAAATCTATGAATTTAAGAACCAATGATCTTAGAATAAAAATAAACTTCTAAAAGTCACTATTTAAGGCATAAAGTTTATGAACTATGAATTATATTACCATTAAAACTTGTTGCTAGATTTCTTATCTAGTTTAATTATATATCATATCTTCTGGGCTGGTGTAGTCACAGGAAGCTCCTGAATTTTATCTTTAAATCAATTGATTCTAACATTAAATTTTTCAAAGTCATAAATAAAAGAAACGCAGGTGTGTTTTTAATAAAAGGAATTGATGTCATTGTTTTTTAAAAATTTCCCATTTTCAAATCCAATCCAAGTCTAAATATATCTGTTACCAGCTCGAGAATAAAATTACAGTGAAATATTTTCCAGCTATGTATACTAGAATATAAGATCTACAGTTTGCTTCAGTGCCCAAAACATTCAAGCAGTAAAAAACTTGAGGTACATAAACATATGATTATACACAGAATATTTGCAATATGCTCACCTGTGCAAGTACATTTTTTACCTAGACAATTGTTTAAAACTCTCACAGGACTAGAGATATATCACATATATTTAATACATATACATATACATATACATATATATTTACATTTTCATACTTTGAACTTATTCGCCAAAATTATTTAGCATTTAATACCTTTCATTTCAGACTATATTATAGATTATTATTACAATAATTTTCTCCTGCTCACATTGAATGATATAAAGTATAAATGAATAAAAACAGCCCATCACAAGATAATGCATTTTCAGTTACCTGCATGAAGTGAGGGTAGGAAAATTAAGGTTCCTGAACATGAAAAGAATTAGGAAAATATGAAGAAATTTAATTACCAAATAGTTTCCATAATGATATTTCCAAAACCTGTTATGAGCAGTTAGTTCCTTCCTACTGTTTGTGGTCGAATAGCATTTGAGAGAAATCCTTTTCCAGAAAGTTTCGCATCTCTGTAGATCACAACCCTGGCCAGACATGTCCATACTTTTTTCCTCAAGTGGGTAAATGTTAAGAGAGAAGAATTCAAGTTTCATGATGCAGCAACACAAAGCTGGGAAGTGAAAATTATGTTGCAGCGGAGTCTTGAAAATATGACTGTAAAAGTTAATCAATAAAATGTCTATTCCTGTCTATTCACCGGAGGCCGCAGCTGCATAGCTTCGCTCAATCGATACTACAAATTATTACGATTTCCAGGTTCCCACTGGACATTCAGAACAAATCTTTCAAGTGTAACAGGCTTATACTGAGTATATGGCGTGTGTTCTCTACATTCAGTTGAAAAAGAGGAGGGGGAAAATTAAATCTAAAGCCTTCGTGTTCTTTAAAAATTGCGCTTTATGGAACCAATAACTTATGGGTCATATTTTAATGTTAAAAACAATCTTGCTTTTGGTTGCCAGTTTTTTTGTGTGCTGCTTTTTTTAACTGTTTCTTATTTAGTTAATACATGACTTAACCTAGATTTTACTGGCATAGGAACCTAGCTAGTTCTGAATGACTATTCCAAAGTAATGAATAAAGAAAATTATCCTGAGATAATTACTTATCACAGTCACTTAGGCACAAAGATAAATGCAGGACCCTGGTGTACATCTCAGATTGTATCAGATCCCTTAAAATATATATTCATGTTATTATTTTTATGATTTAGTCCCACATTTTAAAAATCAGGTTTCAGATTTTTCATTTTCTTTTTTGTAAAATAAAAAATATATAATTCCAGAAATAATTTTCTTTTTTTTTTGAAAAAAAAAAAAGAAAAAGTCCCAGAACATTTTGTTCTAGTGAGATCCTCTGTTCTTGGCAGAAAAATTTGTGTACTTCTAGATTCTCAACTCCAGAACCCCTCAAGCCTTTGACCTCAACTTTATGCTCCATACATTTCCCTCTGCATCCCTGCATCAAATTCCAAGACTTTTCCAAATGAGGGTGTGGTGGGCTAGTGGAACTCACTACAAGGCTGTCATGTCTGTGACACCTGAAGTGCCTTTTCTTTCTTCTGAGTGATGCACACCATGAGGTCTGGCACTGCCCAGTACTGAATCAATTGGTAAATTTAATCAATTCATGCCACCTGTCGATTGAGTGGGGAGAAAATGTAAATAAATAAACCAATCTTTGTGTTTGCCAGGCCAAAAGGCTTTGATTTTATTTCACATTTAAAGAGTGCTATATATTTTTCATGGTAAAATACATGTACCTAGTACCAGCATATCCTGTGACAAGGTATTTGAGGCTATATTTTAAAAGTTGAAGCTGTTTCTCCTAAGACACCATCATTGCTTTGATTATAATCATTTATCCGTCTCTTTAAAATTCAACCATAACATTTTCTTATAACATGGCATAATAATACAGGGGTGAGCAAGAGTAGGTGTACAGTTGTGAGTATGCAAAACAGTTTATTCCGACATTATTATTGATTAATGATTATATTATTTATTTGTATTACAACTGTTAACATGCTTATGCCTACCCTGTACTTACAATTTTATGACCTGTAAGATATTTAATTGCTAAAAACCATTGCAAATAGATTTTTTTGAGTCTGATACAATTTTAACTACTGTCTTGCATGATAGGTGTATGCCTTGCTCTCAATTTCACATTAAGAGAGAATATTCTACTTACTATCATGATCAAGCTTTATTGGAAAATAAAGCGGATGAATCTAGATCAAGCATAGAGAAATTGAGTTTGAGCTTTCATTGTAATCTAACTGGATGAGTCACTGGTTTATTTACTGATAAAATTTAAGGTTCAAAGCAGGTCATTACATGCCAGTTTCTAGATCAAAAGATGATATTTTTTGTGGGTATACAGAATAATGTACCTTTCTAGTGATGTTTAACTGTAGGAAAAAATGATGGCCTTATTTTAATAACATTAAGTTAACATCAAACACTATCATTAATTTTACATTAGTGTTCAAAGCCATTTTTATGTATTTTTTGTTCTCTAAATATACCTTAAACATTATTTTCTAATATAATTAAGCTTTTAAAAAAGACAATAGTACTTCTAACAATACTACAATACCATAGCCATTCCAAAAGAAACTTGCCCAATATGCTTTTAATCCTTGGTACAAATTTCTACCTTTTAATATTTGTTAAATCTGGTTTTTTCGTTGTCTGAACTCTGGCAGCTGACTAAAGGAACATTAATTGCAAACAGAGTGTATCTGAGTGTTTAATTTTATTTAGAAGCATGTAAAATGTCACCCTAGATTGTGTAATTATTTTAGTGCCTTATAATATTAAATCATTAGATTAAAACACAGAAATAAATTCCTCATGAACAATTTCAAATATTTTACTTTTAACATTACAAACTATAAATCACAAAAGAATTTTACTTATGTTCATCACACGTAATATTTTGAAATCCTATTGATAGATATATCAAAATACGCAGTAAGTAATGTAAGTTTAGAAGCTGGCTTCCAAAGATCAGTTAATATCAAATGCACATTTTAATTTTGGCCTCAGGATTGTGTTCAAAGAGATGAGTGACAGGGGGGAAAAGTTTAAATGGTGTGCTTTATTTAACTGTGATTACTCAATGTAACTAAAGTTCGGTAAGTGTAATTTTTAATAAGAGAGAGAGAGAGAGAGAGAGAGAGAGAGAGAGAGAGAGAGAGAAAAGCAGGGAGATTGATTCATCTGGGTTATGCTACTTTCATAATTATTTTTTAAAAAACAGACTAAAAAAATCAAGCAAAAATCAGAGAGGATAGAGTACTTTATCAGAGCACTCAAAAATGAAACCATATTATGTTTATTTGAAAAGCAAATGATAAAATCTGAAAACATCGGATCAGGTATAATAATTACATAAAGACTTAGATGAAAACAGGTTTAATACAAGGTGCTTCACTAAGAACAGTTTTCAGGAACCTTTGAAAACAGCATAGATCTTTATTACTCTTCTTCATAGTTCCTTACGTGCCTCAATAGTCTGACCAAAAATTCTACTCTAAGTGTCTCTCAGTTTAATAGCGTCTTGTTTAGAGCTGCTACTTGAACAAAAAAGAAAGGCAACAAGAGCCATATGTAACCTTTGGACTCCAGAAATAGAAAGAGAAGACCATTGGCAGATAGAGGCTGCGGAGACACTGTATTCTTTCTCTCGCTCCTACCTTGAGCCTTTCTCGATAGTTACAAGAAAGTTGACTGCCACCTCATTATTTAGAATCTGGAATACGACAGTTACAAGTTTCAACATGTGCCATTTCAGTTAAGAAACGTTGCAAATCTAAAGTTTATCTGTTTTGGAACCAACAATTCCTTGAACAAGCTAGCACATTTACACATAACCTTTTGCAAGACACGGAGAGTTAAATATTTAGCCACTAAAGTCACAAGGACTGACTTGATTTCAGTACGTAAAGTAAAACTTTCTGAAATACTCAAAAACAACTCACTTGCAATCATTTTTTTCTTCTTCAGAGGCAATAATCCTTTCTGTCACTGTCTTCAGCTCTGCCTGGGGTTTTCTACCGTTCTGTTCTTGGCGAACTGTTTCTGCTATTTGCTCAGTTAGCTGCTCTTGAGTAGCTTTCAAGCTGGATTCCATTAGAAGAAGTTTTTCATCTTGACTGGCAAGTTCTTGGGCTGAAAGATAAAACAAGAACATTGCCTTTTAAAAAGCCAAGAGCATGTATTTTTTTCCCCTTTTGTTTTGGGTTTAAATTGTATGCAATGCAACTTTGACGAAGATTTAAACAGATCTTTCTTGTCAAAATACAAGCTCATGCATTCAATTTTCAGTTCCCTTCATTTAAAGTCCAAGTAAACAAAGGTATGTATGAAGGAATACAAGATGCAGAGCAGTAATCTCAAGTTTATAAAACATTTAAATTCAACAATTAGATGTCTAATCAGACAACATTGGGTGAGCTTATTTGTGAGACTTCTGCTCCTACATTTATAAAAGAATAATGTCAGTATATAGCATTCATGTTTTTTCTTTAGCATAGATCTCAGATATGTATGTGTGTGTGTGTGTATACACACACTCACATATATATATATACACATATATATTCACATACACAAAGACTGATATGTTATAAATTATGTCAAAATGATGGCTTGCCACTGATTTACTTTCATGAGTAAATTTATGAAATTTAAGCTCTTTTTCAAGGTCATCCAATAGGTGGCACTCTTTCATTAGACCAAAGAAGTCTTAGGCAGTATGCTTCAAGCTCTCAAAAAATAAGTGATTTAAGACAAAGACATTTTTCCTTTGTTCTTTGTTGACCGTATTTCTAGAGACATATATCTGTACATTTTGTTCGAATACTTCCCTTTTATAAAAGTGTTTATATGGGGGTTTTATGTATTGCCTCAAATATAGACCATCAAATGTAAGTGTTATCAGGTTTTTATTTTAGTTTTTAATCATATGTTTGGATATATATTTATACATATGATGGTATACAGTGCTTTTTTTTCAAGGTAATTTGAAATTTAACTGGATGTATAATCCATTGCATTGAATATAATGGTGTTTTATGAAAATCTGTCATTTTAATCTTGCAGTCTTAAATGAAGGGGAAAAAATACTTTTAGAATCCCCAGGCCCATATAAATAGAAATGGAGAAGGCTATATTTTTATAAAAAGATAATCTTCCCTGTTAATGATTCTCATTTCATGTCTAAAATCTGGTGTTTATATTAAGTTTCAATAAAGTTGGAAACTAAGGTATTACCATCTTACATCAGAGATATCTTTTACCAGCAACCTCATAAAAAAGATACTCTATATAAATATTCTGCATCTATCACTCATCTTTGAAGTTGAATGATGTCTCCCTTATAACTCAGATCTAAGAAAACCTGATTCTCAGTTTCTCATTTATAGATTCTGAGCAACTGAGTGCTTATATTTTCTAAATATGTGCATGCATGTCTGCATTGTTTTCTTGCAAGGGTTCAAAATGACCACTTTTGCCCCAGAAGAAATCATAGCACCTACTACTTTTATAGCTTAAACGTGCTATATATTAACAGTTCAAATTTGTGCCTTAGGAAACCACAGAGCTAATGCAAACAGCTAAATATTTAACAAGGAAGAATGCATCACCCAGAGCTCATCTTTATTAAATTCCAAAGACATTGGATTCTCTCTGAACAAATGAGTTAAATGTTTAATAATTTCAATACATGTCCAACACTGTGGGAGTGGGGGAGGAAATCCAATCAAGAATTCACTACAAGTTTGCTTTCAAAATTAAAGAAAAATATTCTTCAAGCTTAAAAAATATGTAAAGGCACTGGAGCAGTCCCTGCTCTCGACCAATAAGAAAATGCAATTAAATGAAAACAATATCTTTACGGTGATATGTTTTCAGTAGTTTTCATATAGTTGCATGAATAGCTTAAGTGCAGGATTTCACTTTATATGATTTTTTAACCTTTCACAATATATATTTCTTTTGAAAAAAGTAAAACTACACCAAAACTTTTAAAATTAGTTTTAAGGAGAATTTTCAGACATTGAAATTGAGAGGTTAGTGGTTGTTAAGTTTAAAAGGACTTTGAGCAATCAGGCCACATACAGATAATTATCGATACGAGAATCTGTCAGGAAATTTCTTTTTTGAAGAATCTGCTTGTACCAATAGACTGACTTCAAGACTACTTTAGTCAACTTGGGCACCCACACAGAAAATACCTCTTATCAACTCTACAGGAAGTGAATTTTCTGTGAAGTTTGCCATTTCCAAATGCCTAAGAGATTTATGCCTCTTGGTTCTCCTAAGAGTCTACTCTAATTCATTATATGCTGGTTAAAAAGGGGTAAATTATTTCGAGTTTACCTATGCCTGGACTTGAGCCTGAGTTGATCCCCAGGCAGAGGCGCTCACAGCTGCATGCTTTATTTACAATCCCTTTGTCAGACTTACAACTGCCCCAGGCTATAACATAGTGTACCTAATGTTCAAACTGCCAGGTAATCTTATGTCAAACATACTTCTTTGATTTAAAGTGATCAATAGATTCTTGTAAAGAGGTAATTTCTCTGATGTTTCCACCTTGCCTTTTTTACAGGTGATTCACACAAAAGCCTGCTTATATGATGTACGAACAATAAACAGAAAGCTATAATCATGTTTTTTCAGATGTTTCCGGTGCACAACGATTTGGGATCGATACACTGTGTAATACAATTATCTGCAATGATCTGGTTGTATTGAAAAAGAATTTGCAGGAGACCTCTGGGGGTTTTTGTCCAGAGACACGTATCCACCAACGTGAATGGTGGGAGGAAAAATTAAGGGGTTGACAAAGGCTGTCTATTAGGGACCCAGTGACACCACTAATGTTTTAGTTCACAAAAGTATTATCACACCACAAAGTCTAGCCGAACAATAGCTCAAAGGGAATAGTAATAATAATAATGGCCAGGGCTCATAGTGTTTATTTCTATGGGAAAGAAAACCTTAACAAACGTGGACTTTGCAGAGATTCAGTGTCACCTGAATATCAGGTAGCACAGATGATAAGCAATATTGATTATTTATGGACTCAGTGAAATAAATTATCTTGCTTCTATCATAGCTAAATTAGGTAAATGCTAGTGTCTGTGAAATACTTTGATGTGTCTTCAACTGCTTTTTTAGCTGGAATGGTCAAATTCTAGAGTGATGATCAATTTGAACTCTTTAAGAGCGCACTGCACCATAAGCCCTTTTCCCCAAGCTTTTTCTTTTTCTTTTCTTTTTTTCCCCAAATGAAGATTTGCAACATCAGGGAAAGAGCTAAGGTGGTACCGCCTGTATCCAAAAGACATTCAACATTTTCCGTGGAGATTTCTGTGCGTGGCAACAACTCAGATCTGTTTGTGTGGCTCTCCTAAGACACTGACTCCTCACAGCGTCTACCTCGCAGCCTGGAAAGAGCCACGCTTCCTCTTTTGAGCCTCTCCTCACAGCTCCCTCACGTGAAACTCCCATCTGTCAGGCACGGCCTGATTCCCATGCTGGTGAATAGCACACTTTGGGGTGAGCTGGTCCCTGGCACAGAGGCGCTCTCTGCGGAGTCTGCAGGTGTCCCCCTGAGGACTGGGCCTGCTCTTCCCCTCCCATCTTCCCTGCACATCCCGGACACTTGCTCTCTGTCTCTTGACCTCACTGTCAAGCCGCCTCACCGCACCCACTGTGGCTCTGCTGGCTGCACGTGCCTGCAGGGGGCCAGCCTCTGCCTCCTTAGAAAGCCCCAGCCTTGGCGGCAGCCTGGGAAGGCAAGCAGCATTCCACCAGTGCCTTTCATGATGCACTTTTTAGAGTGCGTCCTGCTATTTTGGGCTGGAGGATCCTGGAGATTATACAGCCCCTCATTAGCAACTGGGTCAAGTATCCACATCTTTTCTGGGATCAAAACCTTAAAGGGACTTTCTTTCAAAAAAAAAAGAAGAAGAAGAAGAAGTCAGTTGGAAGGAAGACTCCCCATTAGCCTAAATGCAGCGTTAATCAATAGATGAAAGTTCAAAGGCTAAAGAAAACATTTCCCATGATTCCTGGGGAATTAAAAAGGAGACGGGTAGGCTCCAAATGAATTCTTTCTCTTTAAAATGTAAAGAGGAATTTAATGAATACAAAAAGTGCATTTAATCTCTTTGAGGTACCACCTGTAGAACGCTTTCATTCGGCTCCAAAGCAAACTGGCCTAATGTGACATACAGGGAAATCCCTCCCCGTAAAGGTAATTATGATCTCCTGGTGACGTCCCCACACCACCTCAGCTAATTAGCTTCAGGGGAACACCATGTTTGTCACTTTCTTCTTCAATCTTATTATCTTTCTAACACACCGTGTCTCCGCTTTAAATCTGCGTGAGGAAAGACATGAAATATAATGGGAGACTAAATTAATAAATGAATGTGCTTCTTCAAAAGAAAACTCACTAAGCATTCCTGGTGCTATTTTCATATCCATCAGTATGGTAGGTATTCCTGCCTTGGGTGGTTTTCATTTTTGTTGCAATTTTTTTGTTTGTTTGTTTGTTTTTTGGCTCCTTGCCACACCTTGACTCTCTATCATGCTCCATCATGCTTCTTTTAATCTGAATATTTAGTGTTCTTTCATGTCTTAATTACAGCAAATTGCGGCACAGTTGGCACCATTTCTTGAAATTAATCCCAGAGTACTTTGTTTCTGTCAAGCAGTGAAAGCCTCAGAGAATAATAGTAAATGTTATTGCAGATCTAAATTTAAATGACTGTCTATGTATTTAACTTAAGCCTTTAATTACTCGTGCCGCACTGTTTTGGGTTCAAATGTTAAACATTACTCATTGAGAACGTGGAATGACTGTAGGCAGCTTAAAACCTGAAGATATGTTTGGCTCTCATTTGAACAAAACAGTTATTTATATTAAAGTATTTTCTCAGGTGTGGAAAACCCAGGAAATGCCATGTAATATCTTCTCATGGTCATATATTTCAGTATTTCATTACTTCCATCATTATGAATAAAAGGCATGAATTTAGGTCCATTCGATTCTAAATGGCTTTTCCCTTACGAACTGTTAAATTCAAAACCAGACTCAAGAATGTCTTGGTATCACTATTGCCAATAG